TTGGAATTAATGTCGTGTACAATTTCATCATGAATTATTATATTGTATTTAAGGTAATTGGGAATAAAATATGATGTAATTCAGGCAATTATTACCTTAATTAAGGAAATATATTAATGCATGCTTTTAAACGAGACATCATCTATACTTTATTTAAAAAGAGGTGAATTCTTTGACCAGTTTTTCCGCCCATGCATGTGTTGACTTTTTACTATATATGGAGAGGTTTATATATATTTTAGGGAAGAATATAATTTTTTTATGGAATTTAATAAATAAATATTAACATAAATATTATTATTAATCACTAGCAAATTTCTAGGGGCGGTCTAGATTTATTTTTGGAAATTTTTTTATATATGGGCTTTAATAAATAAATATAAATATTTTCTATATATTAATCATTTTCAAAGTTTCTAGGGGTTGGTCTAGATTTATTTTAGGAAACATTTTTGTTAGCCTTGGTTTGCTAAGCCTCATGTTTTGATGTTAACAAACAATATAAGAGCTTGACGTTTGTTTAAGTGTTTCAGGTACAACAAGAATCCATTAAGATTCGGTTCTCAAGAATGAAGTCGAAACACTAAACTAGCGTAGAATTTAGGTAGAAACCGATGTAAGGATATGATTTTATATACCTATATTCACAAGCTCAAAAACACTCACAAAATATGTTTAAAACCCTTTTATAATCATTTTAAAACATTCAAAAGATATAAACAAAATTGGAAATGATTTGGACAAAAATGAAAAAATTGTCAAAATGGTCATAAGGTACCTAGGTACCGTATGCACAGGACCCCCCTACCGTGTGGACGGGACCCCCCTACCGTAAGGGGTACCGTAAGAGATACACTACGCCAAAAACAGTATCAGACAACTGTTGATTAACTACTGTGTATGGAAACACAGTAGTTAAAAAAAACAGACTACTGTGAGTTTTTCTTGGCTACAGAACAGTAGTCTAGCTATGATGCTTTAAAACTATTTTTAAAGTTTCGAGAAACGGTAATCTATCACTAGTTGTGTGTGTCAGTTCAAAATACAGTTTTTATTACAACAGTTGTCAATAACAAGTTAAAAATACTCTATATAAACAGTAGTCTGGTGTTTTAGTCTAGAACTGTTTTTAAACGTATTAGAAACAGTTATCTAACGCTAGTTGTCTGTTTCATGTAGTTATTTTGCCACTATTGTTTCTAATGGGAATAGAAGACTCTTTTGTAACAGTAGTCTATAAATTAAGGGTAGAACTGTTTTTAAAGTTGTGAGAAATGGTAATCTTTTATTAGTATTCCGTTTCATCTAAAAATACAGTTTTTTGCCACAGTTGTCAATAATTAGTTAAGACTACTATTTCTAATTAGTAGTCTGGTTTTTCAGTTTATAACTATTTTTAAACTTATAAGAAATAGTGGTTTTGTTTCATATGGTTTTGTTTTGCATAGTTATAAGAATAGAAGACTCCTTTGTAACAGTAGTATATTTATATAGTGTAGAACTATTTTTAAGGGTAAAATGTAAATTATTATTACTCATAATCAGAATGGTACATCAATGTCAAATGCTGAACCATAGGGATGGTTCCGTGCATATATAAGACAACAAACATCAACAACAAAACCAAAGAGAATACAACAAGTGACATGCAAAACTTGGCACGCAGGCCATACAAAATAAAGAACCATCAAATAAACATCAATGTGATCACACTTTATCAAAGTAGACCACGTCCAGGCTCTTGCATAATCCACTTCCAGCTTCTAGTACCATGCATCATCCCAACAATAGTACGGTAGGCAAAACAAGGGCATGAAGGGAGAATATATTGGGGGTACCAGCATAGCCAAGATAACCCAAGCTCTTCCAAATACCCCAACCGAAAGGGTCAAGACGAGCATTAGGTAGCGTGCCAGCAGGACCAAAAAGGCAAAATACAACATAATAACCAACCCCAATCGGATTGGTGTTACCTCCACCATGAGGCAAAACCGGGTAAAGAATCAGCTTCACTTTTGAACAAAAATCAGCCGCAAACAGATCCAAAAGCAGCGGGGAATACAAGCCAATACGCTGCCCAGGGACACCATAAAACTTCCAAATTGTTTCAGATACACCATCAGCGAACCCACCCACAACAGGACTGCCCAAACAGCCCTCAAACAAATGGCAGTAGCATTTTCCACTGTCAACTTCCACAGCGAGGAAGTGACGTTATCCAGCCCATGGTTCCAGCATCCTCTCCGGAAATAGGACTTCTAGGGCCAGCAACAAGACATGCCAAGCCCTGTCCCCATTCCTTAGTCACGCAGGACAAAAACAGCAAGTATTACTGTTCATTCCAGCGAGTCAAAGTCCTTGTTGTTAGAGGCATATAAACCAGTAGTTAGTCTGGTTTTAAGCCATATACCAACTGCCGTCAAGTGTTAGTAAGAACCAATCCATAGCTTGCCTTCAATTCAGCAAACTCATCACCAAAAGTAGTGCAGTTTCTGCATTTCAGTAAGGTCAAAGGCATCCCCAACCTAGCTGGTCAGAGGTTGAGTTCAGCCACTCTAGAAGGTTTCCAAAGATTGGCATGTTGAAACCAGTCCAAAGCTTAAATTGCAGTTCCAGCCCCACTATTTGACACAATTCATAGATTCAAAATCCTCCACGAAGCATGAACCAGAGCTCCAGGTTCACGCAATTAACACTTCAAACACAAGCAGTCAAGAATCATGTGCTTTGGGCAGATTTGGGCATTTCCCAACCCCAACAGCCTACTCATACAGTTCTTCCATGGCTTCAGGTCCTCCACAACAAAAAAACACCCACAAAAAACCAACACAAGACTATCATGGTTCCAAAGTCATGGTTCAACCCAAAACAAGAGCAAGAACAGAACAGAATATCAACCACAAAAACAAATTCACAACATCAAAAACATCCACAAGAATCAACTGACCAAGACGAAACAAGAACCAGTGAATGCCAGCTCCAATGTCACGCAGTGAACAGTGATTTCACAACCTCAAAAATCCTCAAATCATATGGAAATTCAAATGTTTGTGGAATCCACCTTCATACCTTGCGTGAGAATGTCTAAACACTAAGAATCTCAAAAATCTAGCCATCATGGGTGTCTTGGCCGAAGTGAATCACAAAATCAAAAACGAGATGAACAGTGAAAGTAGCAACGTTGACCTCCAATTCGTCGGATTCCATCTTCAAAAATCAGCGAGAAGGCGAATTCAGAGCTCCAAAAATGACAAGAATCAAGCCAAAATCAAGGTGGAGATCGGAAGTCAACTTCGCCAAATCTTATTCGCTTGCTGACCGATTCTCGTGGAACCGTGCGCCAAATCCTGTTCGTCTATTGCATCAAATCCGAAAGGAAGGAAGAACAAAAAAGAAATTGTGGGTTTTCCTCTCATCTTTGCTAGCATTTCTGGGATTAAATCTTTATCTCATTTGAGCTGATTTAGGATTTTTGTGATTATTTATTTGACAGATCCCATCTTTATGGCGGTGAAGAAGAAGAAACCCAATTACAATTTTCAAAGAAGTGAAAATAGAAATTAGGAAGAGGGAGAATGAAATTTAGAGGAGGGAAAATGAATTTGGAGGGAGGGAAATTAAAATTGTATAGATTTGGAGGTAAACTTTCAATTAGAAAATGAATTTGGAAAGAGGGAAATTAAAATTTTTAGAATCAACAATCTGATTTTTGAAACAAAAACGTTTTTTGGTCCATAAATTTTCTCACTCTTATGTACCACATTCAACTAGGGGTACATTTTTTTGTTAATTGAATTTCTTACTCACATTGATCCAATTCCACAAGATACCCATATTTTTTACCGTAAAACATCATACCGGTACTGATAACTAAAATAATTACTTGCACAAGTCCAATTTGGCTGATCAAATCTTTAAATTCATCAGATCGGATATAATTAGATCGAATTAGACCAAAACAGATCTAAGCGGATCAAATCAATTAGGTGTGATCTAATGCATTTAAAGATTAGATTCGGCAAATAGGACACAACGTATACAAGTAAATATATCTTTTTGAAGATTTGATATGGTCTTATTGGACATGAATTTGATTTGATCCAATTAGATCTATTTTTGTCCGATTTGATCTGATTAGATCCGATGTGATGCATTTAAAGATGATATCAGGCAATTAGAATACAACCAATATAAGTAAACAGGTTTCCTATGAAAGTTTGATCTGATCTTATTAGATTCAAAAATCATTTGATCCGATTAAATCTGTTTTGGTCTAATTAGGTCTGATTTGATGCTTTTAAAGAACTAGAACACAACGTATATAAGTAGAGTAAATTCCATAATTGGTCCTTTATAACAGCGGGGTTTCCCTATTTAGTCTTCTATTATCAAATATTACCTCAGTGGTCCTTTTTTTATGGGCATCTTTCCACAAATAGTCCTTTTTTTGATCAGCTATCATGTTGGAGTTAATTTGAGGGCTAAAATTGTAATTTCACAATGATAATATATCTTTTTTGTCATACACAATTCCAAAGGTTGTTCCGTTTGCGTCGTTTGTGAATTACATTCGCTTTCTACTACAACCATAGTCTACAAATGTGGTCTTCCGTCGGAATCCTAACCCACAATCATAGTCATTATTTTTGTGTTATCTGTTTAACCAATATCAGAACATGTCACTAGACATAATGTTGATGTCAAATTATACTTTTAGCCTTTAAATTAACACCCACATGGCGGAAGATCAAAAGAAGGACCATTTGTGGAAAGACACCTTTAAAAAAAGGACTACGAGGGTAATATTTGATAATAGAGGACTAAATATGGAAATCCCCTTGTTATAAAGGACCAATTATGGAATTTACTCTATACAAGTAAGTAGATCTTTTTAAAGATTTGATCTGATCTTATTAGATTTGAATTTGATTTGATCCGATTAGATCGATTTTGGTATGATTTGATCTAATTAGGTCCGATCTGATGCATTTAAAGATTATATTGGGCAATTAGGACACAACCCATACAAGTAAATAGATCTTCTTTGAATATTTGATATGATCTTATTATATTCGAATTTCATTTGATGAGATCAGATATGTTTTGGCTTAATTCGATCTAATTAGGTCTGATCAGATCCTTTTAAAGATTACATAATGAAAATAGGACACAACCTATATAAAAGTTTAGATTTTCTTAGAAGATTTGATCTGATCTTATTGGTTTTGAATTTGATTTGATCCGATTAGATCTGTTTTTGTCCGATTTCATCTAATTACGTATGATCCGATGCATTTAAAGATTAGATCAGGGAAATAGGACACAATGTATACACGTAAATAGATCTTTTTGAAGATTTGATATGATCTTATTGGATTTGAAGATTAGATTTGTTTTGGTCTAATTCGATCTAATTAGGTCCGATTTAATGCGTTTAAAGATTAGATTAGGCAAATAGGACACAACCTATATAAGTGAATAGATTTCCTTCAAGTTTTGACCTCATCTTATTGGATTTGAATTTGATTCAATCCGATTAGATCTGTTTTGGTCTGCTTTGATCTAATTAGATCTAATCTAATGCATTTAAAGATTAGATCAGACAAATAGGATACAGCCTATACAAGTGAATAAATTTTCATATTGGATTGGAATTTGATTCGATCCAATTAGATCTTTTTTGGTCTGATTCAATCTAATTAGATCCGATATGATGCATTTAAAGATTATATCAAGAATATATGACACGACCTATACAATTAAATTGATTTTTTTAAAATATTTGACCCGATCTTACTAGATTTGAATTTGATTTGATTCGATATTTTTGAAGTTTTGATTTGATTTTATTGGATTTGACTTTGATTTGATCCGATTAGATCTGTTTTTTGTCCGATTTGATCCAATTAAGTATGATCCAATATGGTTCGGATATCAATCAGTTCAGATAGATTTCGGGTTGAGATAGATTTCGGTTTAGATATATTTCATCACTTCATATTACCTTATACTACAAACTATGAAAAAAATACACATATTACCTTCAACTACTACCTCCATCCCTGAATATTTGTTTATTTTTTACTCTTTTTTTCAAAATTAGCAAACTTTGATATGAAATTATATAAAAGTGATATTAGATATTGATACGTACAAAAATAATTTTATTTAATTTATTTTATAAAATATTTCAAAATATTATTTATTTAAGTAATATACAATATAAATTTTATTTAATTTTAGTTAAAGATTAAAAATAATTGATTGCAAAATGTAAAATTTGAAAAATAACTCGAAGTCTAAAAACTAAAACATTTTGCATCCCTTTCTCCAAAGCAGCGCTGCATTTTGACAACTTCCCCCTCAAAATTTAGAATTCCTCTTCACTTTTAATTTCAAAATCACCTAAAATTTCATAACCCCTCCTTAAATTTTCAAAATCCCTCCTTTTTTTCCTTTTCTCTTTTGCTATCTCACAATTCCATGTCATAGTTTCACACTTTCACACACGGCAGATGCCCTCCCACCTTCAAAATCTCTAGAAATATCGCCATGAACAGTGCCACTGCACGAGAATGAGATTTCTCATCTTCCATCGATTTGAGCTCAAATTCGTGAGATTTTTGGAACCTCGGATGCACCATCAGCTCGTGAATCCATATATGAGGAAGTTTCGCTGATTTTGGATATGAAAATCTGAAGAATCGGAAGTCAACGCAGGTCTGGCACTGTTCATTCGAAATTTTGTCTCTTTGATTCACGATGATCCAGACTTCTTTGATGGCTAATTTTTGGATATACTGAGCGGTTTGAAATCCCCTTCCATCCTATGAAGTTGAATTTCATTATCAATTGATTTTCATTTCGATTTGAGGGGTTTATGGGTTACGAACTACTGTTCATAGCGAGAACCTTGATTATGAATGCTTATGCTTTTTTTCCAAGTTTTGTGGATTCTTCCCTGCTGTTTTGAGTTCCTTTGAGATGCATATGAATGATTTTACTTGTACGAGTTCCTAGTATGAATAGCTGCTGGTGTTCTTGACTCCTTTCACGACATAGTTTCCCATTATGAATAGTTGTTGTTTTTCTTGTTTCCTGGTAATAATAGGCTAATAGCTAGAGATCTGTAGTCTTTGTTACTCCTTTCACGGCATAGTTTCCCATAGCTTTCAATGTTTTCATTGTGAGGCTTCATAACAAACTTGTGATAGATTTTCCCTTCCACAAAAAGCCTTCCCTGCCCTGATTCAGAAAATATGGACATTGGAATAAATTCTGTTGACATTCCCATGGAATAGGATTTGGGAATGTTTCCAGGTTCGCTACCAACCAACCCCATGGATTATGTGTGATTTGTTTTAGGTTTACATGCTTTGATGTCCAATAAATTGATTGATTTTGTCTGATTTTGAAAAAAATCGTACGGAATTGCAGAGATATCAATGTTCTGATGACGGCATTGAAACAGATAAAAGAGAAAGCTCATAAGGGCGATCGAAAGAATAATGAAGAGACGATATCTAGGTGAGTGAGTAGGGCTTGCAGTTTCTCGCGGCTCAAATTTCAGCCATATGCTTAGTTGTAATTCTGGATTTGGTCAATTTACAGATTCAAACACTGATTATGAAGATTGTTGTGAATTTCAGGTTCATATAATCATATGGAATTGTAGAACGTATTTGATTGGTTCATTTTGTGCAGTTATTGTGACATGCTACAGACATGTGTTAGTAAATTCAGCCTAGTGTTTGGGAATAGATCATCCTTGGTACTCTATTTACTTTTGTATTTGAAGACAATGGAAATGATATTATACTGTGGTGGATTTTTTTCTGTAATTTTTTTCATCTTCCTTTGTTGCATCTGAATTAGGACATGAATAAGGACAAAAGAGCTTTGGAGAGTTTCCATATTGGGGAGCTCCAAAGAAATGGTTGTTGCTATTTCATTGAGATGTTCAAGACAAGGTTGATTAACATTTAATTTTCTTAAAAGAGTGAATACATTAATCTCATTTTGTGGTACCATCTCAAAGTTTTCATTTCTTTTGCTTCTTAAGGCTCCTGTTAAGGTTCTTGCCATATTCATTGATGAAGATAAAGTGCGAGAAGCGGGGCTTGGGGAGAACTTACGAGTCCGAGTATCTGGGATTGAGGAAGATGATATCTTATCAGGTTTGTTTTATGCAGTGTTGGTAAATACCATTCAATTATTTTCTCTGTTTAGTCTACTTTTTCATTTTTCTTTGTGTGGATGCTTCTAAATTGTTTGTTCATTTTGTTACACAGTAATAAAGTGGATGCTTTGCAAGAAAATATTTAATGGTATGCAGATTGAGGACTCAAGTGGATGCTTTACAAGAAAATATTGCTAGAGCAAGAGATGGATTCAAAAATGTTATTGAGGGGATAAACAACTAAATTAGGTGTGCCAAATGGACAATTAGAGTGTGATTTTATTTATGTAAATATTAAATTATTGGATGTTATTTAGACTTGGATTGCATGTATTTAGATATTATTTAATATATTCTACATTTTAGAATTTATTTTTGTTTCATGATCAATATTTTGGAATTGAAATAAATTTTATTTATTAAATATAAATGTAAATAGAAATATAGTAGTCTTTCAAACAGATTTAAAATATATTAAAATAGTTTTCTAAATCTTTATAAAACAACTACACAAACCTGTACTGTTAATAAACGTTAGACAATAGAAATAAACAGTTATGTGAAATACAAAAAATATAGTTGTTTACATTTTACAAATACAACACAGAATAGCAGTTGTCTTATGCAAACATACTTAGTTGTCTTCGGAGCAGTAGTTTGATTTACAATCTGACTAGTGTGTAAAAAGATAGTTTGAATATTTATAGGACAACTACAAAAAAGCATAGTGTTATCCAGCACTATACAAGTGAAAGAAATGGTTGTTTAAAATACAACATAATTAGTAGTCTACATTTTAGAAATATAACACAAGATAACAGTTGTCTAATGCTATTTTTGTTTAGTAGTCTTCCAAGCAGCAGTCTGATCTATCTTTCAACTACTTTTAAAATTAGATGTCTATATTGTTGAACGACAACACCAGGCAATAGGAGTCTGAAGTCGAAAACAATAGTAATATTCATTATAGATAGACAACAAAATGTCACAGTTGTCTTTAACTCTAGAAAACAGATGTCTTACTCATACGGGGACAACTTCAAAAACATGTACTCTGAAACATCACAAAATAGGTGTCGTCAACCGTATTACACAATTGTTTTTAGACAGTAGTCTGTAAATATATCAGACAGCTGCTCGGAAGACTACTGAAACTAGCACAGTTAGACTACTAAAAAGAACAGTTGTCAGCATCTGTTTTTGACGTAGTGATAGGTACCGCCAGAGAGTTTTAGCCTGAGAAGGTACCTAGCTACCGTAAGCACGGGACCCCCCTACCGTATGGACGGGACCCCCCTACCGTGACCGTTGGGTTACTGTTCCTGATTTGTGATTTTGAATTAAATCAACCCTAATCACCTCCTAACGGCTAATTAACATCTTCCACTATAAATACAAGCCCAATCCTTCATATTTCTTCAAGATTGTTTCGAGATTTGTAGGAGAGAAAAATAAGATTCACACAAGTAGGAAAATAGTTAATAAAAGTCATAAAACCGATAAAGTTCTCGGAATTTAAGGACTTAAAATATGTGTGTGAAACTCGAACACAAAGATCAATATTACTCTCATATTCATAAGTTTGTATTGTATTTTTGAGAGAGTATAATTTCCTTCTACACCAGCTAAGTTTTGTTCTTCATTTTTATATTCTAGCCGTTGTGTAGAATCCTATTTCGTGTTCTTCAAACACACCTTCTTACGGTCGAGAATAGCCGTTAAATTCTCATATTGTATCGGTCGAGGATAGACGTATAAATCCTTGGATAAAGGTTCAAGGATAGCCTTTGAAATCCTTGGGGGAGCGGTAGAAGATAGCCGTTAAATCTTCATTGTAAACAATTCGAGATAGCCGTGGTGAAATCTCGGAGTGAATCCTATTGGCAAGGGTTGTTTGCCAAACTAGTGCGGTGCTTTGACGGAGTTCAAGAGACCGAGACTTAGTGGATTCGGAAATCCTTAAGGAGGAGCCTTAAGGTACTGGAGTAGGGAGTTCCCGAACCAGTATAAAATCGGTGTGCATTTACTTTACGCTTTTATTTTTACGTTTTACTTATTGCTTCCACATTTGCCAACACCGTTTTTATTAAACTCCGAAAAGGTTTTTAAACGCCTGATTCACCCCCCTCTAAGGCGTGGGCACAACGACTAAACCGACTAACAATTGGTATCAGAGCGGTTTCGTAGTTGAAAGTGTTTAATCGCATCTACGACAAAGATCCACTTGTTGTGTCCCTTTTAAATTTGAATTTTAAGATCTCAAAACTTTATCTTCCCCAATTTTTTAAAAAATTCAAATTTATTGAAAAATGGCTCAAATGGATTCCCAAAGCATTCACCGCCCTCCGTTTTTTAATGGCCAAAATTATTCTTATTGGAAAATGCGGATGGAATATTTTATTCAATCAATTGATTATGATTTATGGTTGAATGTACTTCACGGGCCATTTGTGCCGAGTAGTGGTAGCCTTACAGGTTTATCTTCGGAGGATAAGAGAAAATTATCCATGAATGCAAAGGCAATCAATATCCTTCATTGCTCTCTTGGCCCTGACGAATTTGCAAGAGTGAGTACATGCAAAACGGCCAAGGAAGTATGGGATCTACTAGAAGCCACACACGAAGGAGACATCTCAACCAAGCAAACGATGATTGCCCTAGGAAACTCGGAGTACGAATCCTTCAAGAAAGGGCCATGTGAGACAATCCAAGACATGAACAAGAGGTTCAACGAGATTGTCAACAAATTGAGTAAGTTGGGTAAGACATATACTACTTCCGAGCTTAATACGAAAATTCTGTTTTCTTTACCAAAAGAATGGCATAGTAGTATAGTAGATTTATTACCCAAATGTGATAAGGCTGAAACCGCCCACATTTGGTCTTCCTTGTATTCTCACGAACTTTTGTTGAGAAAGATCAAAGAGGAAGAAATGCGTGAAAATCCCAAGCTTACCAACGCCTTCAAAGCTTCCAAAGACTCGTCAAATGAAGAATCAAGCGAGTCAAGTGATTCAAATGACTCAAGCTCCTCGGAAGAGTCAAATGACGAGGAAGATGAAGAGAAGGCGATGAGAATGAAATATACGGATTTCCTCAAATGGAAGAAGTATGTGAAGAGGAAAGAAGTATATTCAAAGCCGAAAAAAGAGCGGCATAAGCCAAGGTAAATTCTTCTCACTTATTGGGATAAGATGTTTTGTTTTGTTTTAATTATTTTCAAAAATAAAACCTTATCTCATACGTGCTTTTATTTGCTTTAGCCTTGGTTTGCATGATTAAATAATTTTTTTTAATTCATCTTTAAATCATGCTTTTTAGAAAATAATCCCTAAAAACCCCTGGAAAAAATAAAGTTTTTAAACTTGCATCATTTTAGGGGGAGTTTTCATTTTTAGAGGGAGTTTCGTTGTAAATGCACCTTTTGCCCAATGATCTCAAAACTATCATTTTTCCTAAAAAAATTCATTTTGATAGGGGGAGGGTTTCAAGAAGTTATACATAGTTAAAATTTTCAAAATACCCTTTTTGATTTTGACAAAAGGGGGAGAAGATGTATACTTCAAAGTGGTGCATAGGCAACTTGACTTCAGTGCATTCTTGTGTAACTAATTGCATCAAACTTAAACTTTCATAAACACAAGAAAAAGTTCAAAGTGAGTATTTTCAATATGCATATTCTTAGGGGGAGCTTGCTTGCTTCATTATTTTACTCCCGCCTAACTCACTTTGAAGTATATTGTTTGTCAACATCAAAAAGGGGGAGATTGTTAGCCTTGGTTTGCTAAGCCTCATGTTTTGATGTTAACAAACAATATAAGAGC